ATTCAACTTCAGCAGCCCACATTCCACACTTTCTACAGGGCTGAACTGTGGAGACAGAAAGAGAGCTGAGTTAGCCTCTCCCCTGATTCTCAGCCTCCTGCCAGCAAAAGAGCAAACAGGAAGGACAGAGTCCTGTCGCCTCCCTTACTTCTCCCTCAGGTGTCTGCTCCAGCTCCACACTGGGATCAATACCTAAGGGAGCTTAAGATCTTATCTGCCATTTGCAAGGAGAAAGCAACAAACTTGCCCCCAGTGATTAAACCCTTTGATGATCTGCCCGGCATTTTCCAGGCTACCTCTAACAAGCTTTAGAGAGCAAATGAAATGACTCTGAGAAAATTGGAAAGGCATCATTCTCTCTCTCTCTCTTCTCTCTCTCTCTCTCTCTCTCTCTCTCTCTCTCTCTCTCTCTCCCTCCCTCCCTCCCTCCCTCCCTCCCTCCTTCCCTCCCTTCCAGGGGACACAGATCATCTCATGGAAGACCACGGGATACAATGACAGGCAGGAACAAAGATGGTTCTCTGCTCCCACCACATGTGACTCAGTTTCTCCATCTGAAAGCGAAGAGCAGTATGAACAACATGAAGGGGGGTGCAAGGGTGGTGTGTAGGGAGCAAACTGTGTGAAAGCAGGCTAAGCCCTGGCTGGTTCTCCCGTGTGCAGAGCTGCTTGGTACAAAACCTGCAGAGTGGCCGTGAGCTTGGGCTGCAGGTCACATAGGCTGAGGGAAGGTCTCAGTTCTGCTACTGCTTGGGTGCATCCCTGGGCAGCTCAGTTCGCCTATGACTATTTGTCACACGCAGTCCTTGTGCTGGCTCCCATGCTCGCTCAGCGTTGGCTGCGTCTACTGAGATGATGGACGTAGCCCATTTAGAATGGCCATGGATCTCTGACCATGCAATCAGGGCGGGTGTCGAGACAGGATGCCAATGCCCCTTTCAGAAAGGAAGGACAGACATCCTCTACATCTTGCCTCTCGGGCTGCTGGGAGTACCCCCAAGATGTCCTGCTACGGTATACCCCTCTCAAATTGCCTCAGCAGAAGAGAGCCCAGAGGACACAAGCTTCCTGGATGGAAAATGTCCCTAGATGGCTCCTGTGGATACAGAGATGATCCCCAGTCCTACCTGGGACAGGGATGGACCTCCTCATCTCTGACATCATCATAGGACAGATTCTCCCTCTAGCCACCCCCAGTCAAGGACTCTTCCTAATAAGCCTCAATTCCCTCCCATATTCTTGGAGAAAGAAACTGCAATGGTGGAAAGAGAACCCCCAGGGACCTCTGCCCTCCCAGGTGTGTGGGGGTGGGGCTTAAAGCTAGAGGAAGACCAGCTTTATCTAGGGGTAAGATGAAAACATTCTCATACTGCCTAGCTCCACTGAGAGGCAGGGTCTAAATTCTCATCCCTTGGCTTCTCTCCCACGCCATTAGGGCTACCAGGCTGGTCCTTTAGTGGACAGAAGTCAACAGCCACTCAGATATGGCTCAGGTTCATCCCTTCTCTACATGGACCACAGGGATCTATGAATAGAGTAGCAATTAACTTGACCTCTGTTTCCCAAGGACAAGAATGGCCCAAGTGAGCCCAGTCCATGGGCGTCAGAAGTCCATCCATGCCTCAGTCTTCCTGAGCAGCTGTGGCTCCTGAGACACAGTGAGGTCCATGTTCCTGGGATCAGGGACAAGGCACAGCCAGGGCTCCCTACCCAACAGGGTGGGTGAGGGGCTTGAGATATCCAAACAGGCAGTGATAACAGCTGGGGCTCACGGCCAGGCTGGGCACTTTAAGATAAGAGCTGGAGGCAGTGTGAGGAGAGAGGAGTCCTCACCTTCTGCTGCGGTCACCCTTTCCCCTCCAGAAGAAGGGAGGCAGGAAGCTGAGGAGGCGAGGGTGAGGTGCCAGCGCCAGTTTTCTTTCCTGAGCTTATATCACCCAATTCCAAGGCATGCTCCACCACGCCTGGGGTGTGGGAACGATATTGGCAGACAGGACCCGTGCTGCTGTTCAGATTTAAAGGTTTCTCTCACTTTCCTAAATGCTCCAAATGCAGGCACTACCCTATTGCTAGCATTCAGCCCAAGAGAATCTTCTGGGCTGTTTGGAGATTGAAAAACATGTATGGGCAAAAGTTCCTAACTGCACAGAAAGTACACTAGAGAGGCTAAAGCAACAGACACCGCCTTCCTGCTACACTGCCAGGCCAGCTTCTTGGCTATGCAGTCTGCGCACTCTCGTGTGGCCCCCATTCAGAGATTCCCACCTCATCCCAGTGCCCTGTGGTTGCTTTGAGATTCATCATCAGACCTGTTCAGAGACTCAACAAACCAGAGTCAGGCCTGCATCTGCTACAGGGGTTTGAACCTCTGGCAGGGGATCTGGATGCCAAACACCGGGGCTCTGCCCTCTCCCCGGCCCTCAGAGCCCACCAGATGTCTGGACTCAATAGCAAAGAAGTCCTGAATCCGTTAAGACCTCCCTCCATCCCCTAACAATGCTCATACTCCCACTCACAGAAGGAACACAGCCCCATCTCTGCATCCTAGGCTGTCGGGTCTTTCCTCTGAAAAACCAAAGTGACGCACCCTGGTCCTCACAGGGAAGATGTTCCCAGGCACATTCTCTGAGGCCAGATCTCACCTCTACCAGCGCCAAGTCATATGAAGCTTTTCGCCATGTCCTACACGTGTGGGTGCACACACACACACGAGTACACACACACACACACGAGTACACACACACACACGAGTACACACACACGAGTACACACACACACACACACACACACACACAGCTTAGAAAGTAACTCATTGTGCTATGGTTCCTGGATTTGACCTTAGACCCTGACATAAATAAGAAAAGGACACAGTCACCATGACACGGCCCAGCAACCTCCTGGGATTCTGAGCTCTGACAATGACTTCTGAGCACACATTCAGATGGGATCACTCACCCAGAAAAACCTGTTCCCCTCTGGGCACACATAGAAAGAGTCTGGAATCAGTAGCCTTCGTGGGGACTCAGAATATTCCTCTCCTGGGCCTTGGTATCTCAGCCACAGAATGGTAAAGATAGTCATCATAAGAGCTAACACTTACGTACATTTATGCTTCGCCTTACGCTTGCCAAACAACATTAGTAAAGTAAGTACTTGACCTGGTTGGGTTTTTAGTCAACTTGACACAAGTTCAAGTCATCTAGGAAGGGCAGCCTCAAAGGGGAAAAATGCCTTCCTTGTCAGCAGGCAAGTCTGCGGGGCATTTTCTTGATTAACGACTGGTGTAGGGGCACTGAGCTAACTGCAGGCAGTACCACCCCTAGGCAGCACAAAAATGTGCAGTAATTTCTCCAAACACAAAATTCTCTGAGTCCCAGGATGGCTGTGGATATCAAAGTATGAGAGACACAAGGAAATGGTGCATTGGCTCCAGTTTTAAAAATTATGCATCTGTTTGTGTGTCTGTGTGTCGTATATATGTCATACAGATGCCCAAGGAGGGTATAAGCCTTGCCTCTCCTTGGACTAACTGGGGTTGTTGTTGTTGGGGTGGTTGGCGGTCACCTGAGGTGGGTGCTGGGAAGTGAACTGTCGCCTCTGAAACAGTAGCCAGCTCTCTTAACCACTGCGTTGTCTCCCCAGCCCATCTATGTTTACTTTCTACAGACAGAGTCTCTATGTTGCCCAGGTTGACTCTTGTATGTCAGCATTCTGAGGAAAGGAGACAACAAGCCTGTGGCTACCATGCCCAGCGTGGTGTTTAGACACCTGTGACACCAGAGACAAAGCTGATGATGGCAGACAACGATCACAAATAGTACATCATGGGCACACCCTGCCCTACATCCCTACAGCTCTGTCTCCTCGCCTCTCTCCTTCTCCAGTACCCTGCCCTATCCACCCAGTGCTCAACCTTCCATTCTTGAGAAAGCCGCTGAAAGCTGGTTACCGGGCACACTAGGGCAGGATTGCAGGTCTCTCCCCAGCCCCGCTTCATTCCTCCCTCCCTTTCCCTCTGCTGCTTGCTCTAGACAGGAAGGAGATTCAGTCACCGCTGGGTAACTGCTTCTAATCACAGGTGACAGCCGGAATGTAAACAAGGGAGAAACATCTAAACGCAATAGAAACAAGGCAAGGAAACAGCTCTCTGGGTTGGCTCGGGGCTCCTTCCCTGGAGAACACCCCACACCCTTTCCTGCCACCCCTCTTCAGAAGCACTGCTCATTAACACCCTGCTAATAGGAACCCCAGAAACACGGCGCTTCTGGAGCAGAGCACTAAGTCACAGCATCCTCAGATGGTCCAGATTCCCCCCATTTTCCTATTCAAATCAACGATTTTCACATATTTTGCTGGCAGGTGGAGTTGCTGAGAGTTCCACTCCTAGGCAAAGCTCAAACACTGTGTAAATCAGTTCAAAGGTTTGTGGACCCAGATTGAGTAAGACCCGTTTCCTACAACATCGATTGACCAGGAGGAACAAATAAGAATAGATGTCCCCTAAGCACTGGGAGGCTGACAGGACATTTTCAAATCTGCAATCGCTGTAATCAGTGAACATTAAAGACGAGGTTTTCCAGACTCCTCTAGCTCGTTCTGTAGGTTGACAGTCTGCCTTCTAAGCTACCTCCATCGATGCAAACTGACAGTCCGATTGAGTAATTACCATGAGTAATTTCCACTAGGATCACTGAACTGAGTGCTGAGGTTGGCCAGGCACTAAGAGAGCCAGAACGAGAAAGGTAAGTTAAGGAATGTGATGGACATGGCCGCTCAGTTCAGCCAGAGTTCCCTAGCAGAGAGGGTTCGCGCTGTCTGGTGTCTGAATGCTTGCTATGGTGGCCCTCTGCTATTAACATCCATCCCTCCCACAGATGGCTATGTCCACTTGCTGGCTCCCGCTTCTTCCTTAGCTCTTTGGTCAGTGGGACAGGAGGCGAGAAGGGCTGGAGGCCGGGAGAGAATGAAGGGGCAGATTTCTTACGCTGGGGCCATCTTACCTCTGTGCCTGTTGGTGGTTTTGTCAAACATCAGCATCGCATCCTCAACCTGAAACAGAGAAGAGAGGCTGCGTCAGGACTTCTCACGAAACACAGACAAGATTACAAACACAGATTGCATGGGGGGAAGAGAGGTGATTTCCATTACCAATATTAGAAACCCAGACTGTGCGGGGTGAGAGTTCCCATCACTGAAGTAAGAGTTCCTTAAATAGAAAATATTTGTAAAAGGGAAAATAAAAACAAAACCGTCTACTTGGCATAACCTTAGTTAACATACGGTATAGTTCCCTTTAGAGTGTGATGGGGAGAGTATCCGTGGGCACCTATGTTAACGAATACACTACCCCTCTCCCTGTATAATTAAACAAACCCATACCTCTTTTAGAATTGTTTATATTATATTATTTGTGGAACTTTATTTATTTGTTTGTTTATTTTTGGGCTTTTCAGTTGTACAAATATTCCACCCAGGTCACTACATCCGGACAACTGGCCAGCATTCCACAGAGCAAGAGGCCCTAACTTACGTCTCTTCTGACGAATACTTAGTTTGTTCAGTTATAAACAACAGACTTTAGCAGTCTCCCTCTCACAGGCTGGACCATTCTCCCTAAAACTCATTGACTGAAGTCCTAATTTCTAGTACCACATAGGTGGACTGGGTGCTTTAGTTTTAAAAAGATTTAAATTTTTATTTATGTGTATGGACCTGTGTCTGTATGCACCATGTGTGTGGACGGACGCCTGTAGGAACAAAAAGAGGGTGTTGAATCCGTAGGAACTGGAGTTACAGGGAGTTCTGAGGTGTCTGACTGGGTGCTGGGAAACCCACTTTGGATCCTCAGCAAAAGCAACTAAGTGTGCTCTTAGTTGCCAGGCCACCTCTCCACCCAAAATTTAGATGAGGTCATCAGGGTGGGGCTAATAATACGAATGGTGTTCTCTAATGGGGACGTGAGGGCAGGGACCCACAGGGACAGGAAACCATAGGTCAACAAGGCCTTAGGAGAAACCAACCCTGCCTCACCTCAATCTTGGACTTCTGGCTTCCCAAATAAACAGACATGAGACAAATCTATTTTGGTTGTTGACCCTCTCCAGCCTGTGGTGCTTTGCTATGGCAGCCTTAGCACATGGCACACAGATGCACAGATGCTAGGGGTCTTTCTTCTCTCATGCCCTGCAACTCTTGGGCACTTCTAGCAGTAGGATTCCATTCAGATCTCAAGAAACCACCCACAACCTACATAGGGCCTCGGAATTCACTCCTGTCGTTTGTAGATCTAATCCTTTAGGCCACAACACACATCTTTATCCCAGAGAAAACTTGTTTCGCCAGGGAGAAGTGGCAGCTCTCTCCATGTACTTTGCGCCTAACATTGGAGGCAGAAAACAACCCAACGGCACGGCTACACAACTGTTAGCCAGAGGACTCTGCTTGCAGCAGTCAGGGTGTGTGGATGTGGCTGGAACGATCTTAGCACTCACTTATGTTCAAAGGCTCACAAGCAAGCTGTGAGGTGTGTGTGTGTGTGTGTGTGTGTGTGTCGGGGTGCACTTCAGCTAAGCCACCTCAAGAGGAATCACAGGCTATTCATTTCTCACTCCTCCTGGGTGAAACAATGAAATGAGCTTTAAAGCGGTGCCTCTGGACAAACGAAATCCATTTTTCTAAATTCTACCACATACAAGAGCGGGCAGAGTGAAGTTCAGGCAAGAATGGGAGAGGTAGGCAAGCCAGTCTGGAAGAGCTCGACCTCACTTCAACATCCTTCTGAAGGCAGGGCTCCCTTTGTTGCTAAGCAACCCAGGCTGAACAAACAGGCTCCTGGGGCCTCACCCTTCTGGTGCCCCCCCCCCTCCTGCAGTCATTTGCTGTGGGGAGGGTAGCCTTGCCTGGCGACTTCTCCAGCAGGGAGCTGCCCCCCCCCTCCTCCCAGGCACCAGCTGGCAGGAAAGGTAATGCTAGTTTGAGATCACTTGAACAGGGCCTCCTTCCCTGGGCTTTTCCTGGAACCCAGGCCTTGGCAGGCTTCAAGAGTCCCCCAGACACCTGCTGAGGCCATACGCCTCCCATGCACCACCCAAGCAAACCACCATAAGATCAACCGGTGTGTTTGTACACAAAGCAGTCACACTCCAGCATATGGCATCTCAGACTCAGACCTGGGGATGCCAGAAGAATTCAGATGCCTGGGGTGTGGGTGTGGGTAGGGGGTAAGGCCTGCGGAGAGCGCAGGTAAATGCGGCATCTGCTTCTGTGCACCCATCTCCACATTTTCTGAGCTGTTTGCCAAATCCTGATCTTGAACTGAAAATGCCTAGCAGCGAAGGGAACAACCTCCCTTCTGTGTTGGCCATGTCTTCGTACTGAAATTCAGATCCCCGTAGGAAATAAATATTTTGAATTAAAAAAAAAACCTGTCTTTCAGCAGTCTGTAATTGGCTCCCTGCTTCTCCTTGCTAAGTTTGCCTGCTTTCTTCTGTACCCTCCACATTCCCTTCACCCTGGTGAGTGTGGGGAGGGGGATCTGTGTGTGTGTTTTGGGGGCAAGCATTGTTGTAGAGAATAGGGCCCCCCCCCCGCAGTCCAGCTGTACAATGGGACTCTCGAAGACCTCCTGAATGGATAAAGTGTCAGGGTGCAAGAAGAATTCTATTAACACTTTACAAAATACAACATCTAAGAAGTAGCTGGAGAGAAAGAGAAAGTGGGAGGGGGATCAATGTGGATAAGTCCCAGTCCTGAGGGTTGGGGGGAACTTTTCAGGGGTTGCAAAACACTTATTAATTCAGAGAAGCCATCAATGCGATGGAAATCTGGCAGGACAGCAAGAGCCAAAACCAGGAGAATTTGAATACACAAAGGCTGAATAGAATGAAAACCGCAGCCTCACATACGGGCCTGGTTCTCACGGTTCTAGGAGAATCAAACAGAAGCGGCTTGTGCAAGTCTCTGTTAAGGAGAAATACGGGCACAGTGGAGATGAATGGTGTCAGCGCCAGAGCCAGCCAACTGGTAACAATTTCAGCTTCTATGTTCCACGGGAGCCATTGTACATAGGTGTGCACCTGAAACTGATAAACGGAGTTGGCTGTGTGGGCATAGGCCTCAAAGAAGGGCTGCTAAGAAGATGGGTGTGGAGTTGGGGTTATAGTGTGATGTTGTTCTGACCTCAGGAAGAAGACATCATTAATTCTGTGAAACACTGAGGGACACGGCCCTAGAGCCAACATTTTGTGGGGACAATGTCTTGGCATGCTACCTCGCAGATTTTTTTTTTGTACTGGAGAAGGCACCTAACTAGTCTTGGGAGTCCCCTGAAGGAGAGAGGGGAGAAGACATGAAGATGAGGTGTCTCAACCTTAGGTGGCTTTGTCCCAAGCCCTGGTGTGAGCCTGGTCTATTTGGGAGAAAAGTTTATCCCAACCACAAAAAGTCTCTAGTAATGACCCAAGGTAGCCTACCTTTAGAAATGGAAAAGAAAGGTCATAAAACTTTCAGGTCAGACAGCTGGGAAGGGATGCTCTCTGACTTGAGCCTGGAAGGTCTAGCATGTGAATTTCTGGCTGTGGAAGGTTCCAGTAACTCTCGCTCAGCAAGGTATGGCTATCAACGAAAGGAGAGCAGCACTAAGGGTCTCTTGGACATACTAAATTTGCTCAGAGGTGGGTGGTCCACAGACCCCTCAAGGCATCCTAGGATTTGTGTACCTATTGAGGTTCCAGATCCCATAGGTATTCCTACTGGCCTGTGGCCTCTTCCCCACCCTACTGTTTGAATAATGAGGGCCCAGAACTGAAAGGGTGTGAATATACTTTAGGGCAGAAAGCAACCTCTAGCAAGTATACTCCCATCCAGCCCCTCGTCTGCTTGCGCCTGATCATCTAACATCCTGAGGAGTTCACAGTGGAAACAGCAGAGGAAAAGCTGACATGCAGAAAGGTTTCTTAACCTGCCCTTGCACCAATACAGAATGAAGCCAGTGTTAGCCCACATGATGCAAACTTTCTTTGTAGCAGTTAAACATTTGCTAACATTCCACATCAGGCTTGGTCAACACAGTCTTAACCTAAAAATCTAGCTAGTGGCAGCTTCATTTACTTCTACACACCCTGCACGTCTCAGGCACTTCCTACTTGCAAACCATCAGTACTGAGGGATAATGCTCTTGAACACTGTAAAGATTTGCCACTCAATAATTTAATAAAACTCTGACTGGCCAGTAGCTAGGCAGGAAGTATAGGTGGGGCGACCAGACTAGGAGAATTCTGAGAAGAGGAAAGGCAGAGAGTCAGTCACAAGTCAGATGCAGAGGAAAAAAGAGGAGAAAGTCTTACTGAGAAAAGGTATTAAGCCATGTGGCTAAACAAAGACAAGAATTATGGGTTAATTTAATCTGTAAGAGCTTGTTAATAATAAGCCTGAGCTAATAGGCCAAACAGTTTATAATTAATACAAGCCTCTGTGTGTTTCTTTGGACTGAATGGCTGTGGGACCAAGCAGGACAGAAACTTCTGACTACACATCAGCCTATATACAATCAAGAGGAAGGTCCCACAGCTCGATTGGACAGGTCACATTAATGACCCAACACCCAGTAATTTTGTAGTTTCTCTCCCCAAAGCGAAAAAGCCTATTTCCCCATCCCTTCAAACAGGACCTGGCCAATAAAATGAGCTGAAGAGAAGAGTGTATCTGTTAGGGATCTGGCCTGGAGCAACTCACCATGCTTCCATTTGTTCTCTCTTGGACTTAGGCCATCACCATGAGGGCTATGCCTGGGCACATGCATTAAAGGATGAGGCACACAGGGCGAAGAACAGCTTTCCCCATTTTCCACAGCTGAGACCCAGGTGAGACCAGTAAGATCAGTAAACTACTCCCAGTGTACCCTAGACAGCTACTACTGTCTGCCACTGAGGTTCTGCAGCTTGTTACACAGCATTCTTGTAACACTAGAAAATACATCCATAATCCCTGCCCTCCAAACAAGTAAATAAGTAACTCGAGAAGAACACCTTGCATTCAGAAGATGGGGTTTT